ATGAACTTACGTTTGCTGTAAAGTTCAATGAATTTTCCTCATAAGACAGAGAGCTGTTAATAATGTTAAGGACATTATTTTCCTTTCTTCTTACCCAGCATGCTTCTCTGCCATTCCATATCACACGCGTGGAGGGCCAGAGGAAGAAAAAAAGAGGGGTAGAAAGAAAGAGGGGTAGAAATTATGCAAAGGTTCACGACACAAGCAAGAATTTATGCTTTTTTTGGTAAGAGGAAGGAAAAAGCAGAGGACAATGGACAAGAAACATCAGACAGTGGGGTTTCCAATGAAAACAGCGTGAAGCATAAAATACCTCATTAGTACGAAGCAAAGGACAGAACTGATCGGTATTTATTTAGGAGGCGATTGCCAGGACAGACTGGGCTCGGCAGCAGGGAGGTGCCACTTTGCTTCCTGGCACAGACCGCTCTGCAGTCACAACAAAACTCTTGTGGCGGCAGAGTAACAAGAGTGCGTGTGTGTGTGTGTGTGTGTGTGTGTGTGCGTGTCGTGCATAAAATGGAAAAGCACGTTTCCTCAAGCTGAAGCAATTTTGACAGGTGTAGCAATGAGAAAGAAAGGCAGCCGAGGTTCAGTGACAAACTGCTGCATGTACGGTAGAGTCTGTAAATGCACTTGTGTTGGCGCCAAAACCTTCCAGCACTGCCCTTGAGGTCACAACTGTTTTTACACATACAATTGTGCAGTCGATATGTGCTAATAAAATAGGTTCTCCACACACACACACACATTTACACAATAAACAAACGTGATGCTTCCATCCGTGCACAGATCTCCTGAACCCTGGAGTGTGCACCATCTGTCTGCTCATTACTCGGTCTGTTAAGGTACACACACATACACACACACACACACACAATGACGCACAGCAGAACATCCTAATAAATAAAATGCACACTTGGTGTTTCAGCCGAAGACACTGCATGACATGACTAACAGATGCCCTTTAAAGCCCCTGCAGGCCTTCCCTGTCCTCCGACCATCATTCTTCCACTCCTGATGTGGCCTTATCAGTGGAGGAAACAGGAGGAACTGGAGGCTTTATCAATGCAGAAGGTGCCATGATGGCCAAAACCCCATATATCAATCAATCTGTATGTATGGTCACCCACAGACAAAGTTTAAATCTCTTTTGATTTGTTCACAACAGTATATATGAGGGTGGATGGCTGGTTGAATATCGGTTACTGAAATAGGAAGATATTTATCAAAATGATGGGATTGCCAGCATTTTAGAGATTACGTTGTTATTTTTGGATGCAAAATCAAACTTCTTTCTCTGTGGTTATTATTTAGTAATCTGGAATCAGGCTCTGCAAACAGCGAGGATCAATCATACCAGTAATCCCTTTATCCCAAGTTTGTTAGGTAAGATGTAGCTATGGAGTGTGTGTGTGTGTGTGCGCGACAGTTATCCTAAAAAATCGGACTGAGGTTTAAAGTATCTTTGTGAGAGCCGAGATGAGTCCTTTCCTCGTGACAATAATTAGCTTGTGACAGCTCTAATAAAATAAGGACAGGAGCAAAGCCTTAAAGTTGATGTGGAAAATGTCCAATGCCATTAATTACGGGGAAGTAATGCTGCAAAAACATTTACAGAGTAGTACAAACTTGTCCAAGAAAAGAAAATCTGAGCTTGTTCCTGGGAGTCGATATTTCCCCAGCGTATTGGCACATCAGCTGCAGCACTTCCGAATATCAAAATGTATTGAACAGTTTACCATTGACGGCGTCGGCCCATAGTACAAGTCTACCGCCACCTGAGCCATGCATGAAACTCTGCAGGTTGACACATCAGTGGAAACAAAGGGCTGCAGAGCAGAGAGATTACCTGGTAATTGTTAGGATTTAGGATTTTTCCCCCATGTGAATGTCAAACAATGGTGCAAACTGGTCGGCTTCCGTTGTGTGGGACAGACATTTATCATTGCGTGACATCACGAGTATTATAATAGACACAAAAATACCTAAATCTGTCTGTCAAACCAAAACAGAGATGAAAACAAACAAATATAGGCCCAGATAGTCAATATACAGCGGACGACTTGCTTTTCCTTGAATAACCAGGGACTTTCCCCCCACACAATGAGTCATCACAGCAACCTACACTCCAGACCAGGAATAAAGGCCACATCCCAGACCTGAGCAGAGGTAGTACCATGCACATTTCACCCATTGATTCGTCCTCTTTCATTACAACACCCACAAGCTCACGCATACTGCCAAACAGTTATAATCTAACCAATGAGAGCTCTTTGAACCCTTCAGCTCATCCCTGTACGTTCTTCTTTGAAATGTCTTGTTCTACAAAAGCATTCGTGATGAAAAGCATTCGTGCATAACGTTTTTAAAGCCTGAGGAAAGCTATCTTAGGGATGCCCCAATAATACTTTCTTTCAAACAAAGTCTTGGGTACTTTGTAATATCGAGAACCAATAAGAGTAATTTTACATTTTAAACAGTAACTTTGATTAAAAAAAACATATTTTCTTCAGATGCACGTGACCTTCTAACAGAAACAAAATAACATTCAACATGATGTTGTTGACATTTTTATATTCAACGCAGACAAAGGATTTGCCGCCCACATCAGTCAAACGGTTAAATCTTTTAATCCGTTAGTGCGTCAGGTTATTGTTGTAGGTGGACGGCCGATTGCAACAATTAAAGGCTGGGACTTTATGGCCCAGAGACCGCCCCTTTATGTCTTTGTGAGGATATTCAACTTTAAAAAAGGTGCAATTGTAGAGTGGATGTTCATTCATCTTCTACATGCACAACACTGAGTTTCTAACTGCAGCTCTAATACAATGTATTGTTTGTCTAAATATAAACAAGGCAAAACAGATCATTTCTGCAGAAAAGAACTGGATATTGTTAATATTTTGGTTATTCATGTTCAACCCCGTTGTCCATTGTGCAGGCTTCACAGTGATATCAATAGTTTGTTGATGCAAGTCTCGGCATTGAAGTAGATACACAACACACTTTTCTTTTTTGAATCCCTACCAGGATCGGTATGGTGCTCAGGCAATGCACTTGTGTGCAAAGAGAATAAATGAGTGTGAGCAGCAGGAGAGTCTTGATCAAAGTAGATGAAAGACAAGAATGAACAGATGGCTAATAAAGAGGAACATTCCCAGTATGCAGAATACGACCCTTCACTCCAACTGTTCAGTAATAATAAAAAGCTGAGTCAAGTTTCTCTTGACCTCAGTCCCCCTCACGAAAGTAATAATCCCATATTTCTGTCACAGAAATGTCTAATGGGTACAACTGTCTTCCCGCTGCATGCTCTGACTCAGGTTTTGACACTAGTTCCATCAGTGCACGTGGCTGCGTACCTCTATATGAATATTCACATCCATTGTCATGACCTCCACAGGGAGTTTTTCTCTTGGTAACAACAAAATGATATGCATGAGCATGCACGCACACACAGCAAGGACTCTAGCAAATAAAATGGAATAAGCAGCACCATCAGTTACATAAACACTAAAACTCAATTTGTGCTGCATGAATTCTTGAAGCATGGCATCCCCTCCATGCCGATGTGTGCATCTCCGAGATGTGAGGGTGCATGGCTTTACACACGGGAACATAAAACGAGTACTGAGCTGGGTGGGAGTGTGTCGCGTCTGTGGTGAGTCACTGTGGTTGTGTCATTAAGCCAAGTAATAAAAAGCATATCACGCGGAAATCACACGCTCATTTAAAAAGGCTCTCGGCCGTGGGGCTGGCGAAGGAAAGGACGCAAAATTGAATTATTTGTCACAGAAGTTAGGCCGTTACAAAGAAAGACAAAACAAAAATAGCCACAGAAAATGAAATACATAGTGTTGTATTAATAAATATAATGCGGGTAACTGGCTTATAATCAATGTGAAAAAAGAAAACAATCCAAGCGGGTTACCATGAAACTCACCCCTGATTCTGTGAAGTTCATGGAAGACAGACAAAGTTGGAACAGTCGGAAGTCTCTCGCGGCTACGTGATACTGTCACAGGGAATACAGAGTTTATGTGCCCATAACCAATATGTCAGCTGGTGTCTCAACAGCGGACGTGCACCCCAACGGGAACGCCTGACACATTCGTAGATGAAGGTGCCTCCCTCTGAGAGCCTGCCAGGTTGAACAGTAATAGGGCTCTCCACTACATAGTGCAGGAACACCCCTTTAACATCTCAACGACTTGTCCTTGAGATGGAGAAGATAGAAATAGAGAGACTGAGACGGCAAAGAGTGACAAAGTGACAAATGAGGAGCACGCATACAAATAGAGGTAAAATGGAAGTGACTGGCAACAAAGTATGAAATTAAATTTAAAGTTAAATGAAAAATAACGCTGTGACGTTCAAGACTGTTTATAGAGACCACCATGGCCTTTGATCATACTCAGTACTTAAATAGCTGCCACCTGTTGGAGACCAGTGCAGCTCACAGTGCCTGACAGGCCACTGGTGGGAATTTGAAACAAGCCTGGTTTAGTAAGTGCAGGATATTCACCATTATATTAGGATTATAAATAACATAACAAAAATACAAGTCATGCATGCATGTAGTTCGATATGGTGACTGGAAAACCATATTAGGCTACACCTTTTTTTTAATTTTTTATACAATTTGCAAAATTGGGGGCTAATCTAGTCATTTTTAGTTTGTATAATGTATATTATAATCATTATTTCTTTACATGTATTACAAATACAGTGTGGCAATAAAGGAATTAGCTGGCACACATTGAACACTTGCACATTAAAGGGGGACCTTTATCAACATTTTGAAAAAAAACCACTACGTTATGCTATCGCCCAATACATCCTTATTTAGCATGACACAGCATTACATAAGGAAAAAGAGGTCCAAGCCAGACAGCAAAACATCCTCTGAAGATTTCAAATAAATGGTTTATATAAACACCTATTTTTGTTATCTATTGTCAGTTGTTACATAGCAACACAGTTCTGGAGAATACATTCCAAAGCACTAGGAATTTCAAATTCATAGAAAAGAAAACACGCAAATCTAGTTAGTGCAGCTACATACAAGGAGAAGGAAGAAAACTTTTCAAATCACTTGTTAACTTGGGTAAGTCCATTTTGAATTATATTATTCAATAGCATTGATAGGTATTTACCCAGTCATCATGTTTACATGACTATACTGTTTAAAATAAAAACAATATGATGTAACTGCTTAATTTCAGATCCTATTTTATTGATTTACGAGGACAGAAGTACCTCTAGAACATAACACAACTACTCTGGTTACTAGAGGTTAATCAACAGCTATCATCAAATCGCTTTTGTTGTTCCACACAGACATTGGGGCAAAAAGATATCCTGATGGCAGCTTCTGGACAAGAGAAACGTCTCTGTAGCTATCACGTTAGGTACAAGACTCATTTGGTTACACTACATGCATTTGTATGGTTTGCAGTTTTCCCTTTTTAATTATCCTTACCTTAATACAAATAATGCTGGTGCAGGATGGTGGCTAGAAGGGTGGAAAAGCAAATGCTGAAGCTTCGTTTGGAAACTCTTCTCACGCTTGATGCTGCGACAGAGATGATAATGGATGAGATTCTGGAAGATCATATAACCATAATGAAAATCCTGGAGGACCTCGTCTTAGAGGGAGACACCAGTGACGCTGAACCCTGTTGCAGCGACACCAGCGACGCCAGCGACACAGATCCCTGTAACGCCCGTAATGCAGATGCAGAACCCTGTAACGCCTGCGATGCAGAACCCTGTAACGCCTGCAATGCAGAACCCTGTAACGCCTGCAATGCAAATGCGGAACCCTGTAATGCCGACTCCATTAAAGTAATGTAATTTACGTTCATCTGTGTGCCGCGCCTTATAAAGAGAGTTCTGTTTCTAAAAATGCCTCCAAACGCCTACATCTTTCTTTTCATCGATTAGGGTAAGAAAATGTTTAACACACATCCATCTGAAAACCTCACAGCTTCTATAAAACTTTAGAACAAGTCCGTCTTAAATCAATGAGTATAGTTACATCCTCTATGTCCTAAAGCAGGCCGAGGCTTAAGACTTGATCAGTCTAAAACCGATTCCTTTAACGAGGAAAAATCTCTTTAGTCAAGAATATTGCGTGAAACATCTTGAGCTAATCCTCAGTGGAAACAACTGAGACTTTTAAATTTAAATCTGAGGTGCCTTTAATCAAATTATAAATACGGTAATCAGTTATATCAGTTGTGGAAGCTCAAAGGACAAAACAAGGAGAAAACAAAGTAATTGGTAAGCCAAAGGCTTTATAGTGGAGAGAAATGCAGATTTGAAACTGCCTGGCTTCTCGAGTATTCAGGATACAGTCCAAGAAACAGGATTAGCACCATACTGAGAAGGGACTATACCTGAGTAAACAGTCCCATATTCTCCTGTTTGTGTGTAAGCAACAATTGTACCCTGCTTGTTTCAGAACATATACAAATGCATCGGGGACATTGATTCAAAACAAAACAAACCTGCGATATCCTCCATTCTTTGTGCACCATTTTTCAAAACATCGCAAGGAATCCCCTTAAGTTACAAACTATTATATTTGAATGTACATCAAATATAAATATACCTGTCCATGGATGACCAAAGAAATTATGTAGATTATGAGAAATCTACATAAAACACAATAACAAACTCCCCTACGATCAAGCCCTGCCAGTTTCCTCCTCTCCAGAGATGCAGATCACCACCAGCAGGGGGCACTAAGTGCCCTCCTGATCTCCTGACTGATCACCAGTCTGCATTTGGAGGTGAAAGCACAGCAGCACTGGAGTAACGCTAATGTCCGTTATTTTCACCCATGTGGAGAAGACTTTGTTGTTCATGTGATGATTGTGGGCCAAAATGATGTTGCTCTCTGAAGCCCTGAATAAAAACAGCTTGACAGAGACCCACACCGATGGAACTGAATGACTCTAAAGATCAGAATAAAGACAGTTGAATCTACTGTAGACACCTGACTGAATTTATTTGGTTTGGTTTATTAACACTACGTGTCTAAATGCTCGCCACCTGACCCGCTGTCCCTGAACTGGCCTGTGTCCTCAGATCATCAAGTTTCCCAGAAATGACTCTCAAAGGGTTAACTAGGATTCAAGTGACTTAGGCTCACTACGCGATGAGCCTAAAATGACCCTGCAACTCCATCATCCACACTACACGCGGTCTCTTTAAGATAAGATAAGATATTCCTTTATTAGTCCCACAGTGGGGAAATTTACAAGTGGACCCAATCACAAAAAAATGATGCACAAAACGCCAGCGAGGTGTACATTTTTACTTTTTAAAACGACGGGACCATACCTGTATCACACTGATCGCTCACACTATATCGAACATCATCACATAAAATGTTTTTTTCACTGTGAAAACCTGTACAGGGCAGCAGGCTTTCACTGTTCCCACATTTCCATAAAATCCAGCGTACAGGAGGCTTTGAATAAACAAAGCAGGCCTTTGTGTGAAAAATTCCCGACATCAGCCATGATGAGATGCATCTTTTCGCACCAACGTGTCCCTCGTGCTGTATGTCGGCAAGCCAACCGGCAAAGAATTGGGAAGCTATATGCGTTGGGGTGGCCTGAATCTCTATTACCTTTCTAAATTATATTTGCTTCATTATTTTATCCGTTTCATGTGTATGTGCCATATCAGTAATAAAAAAACTGGATGGGATCACTTTGCTTCTAGTGGCGTTTCCAATAATGAAGTTTAACGTTAACCATCGCTGTGGGAAATATCCGCCAACATTCACGAAGGATATCTCCCCTACATCCGCAGTCGTACGCATTATAGATTGCTCTCAACACCGGTTAAGTGGCTAACATGAAAACGTTGTGAATCAATAAAACACACACACTTTGTGCTAACAGTATAATAATTACACCAGTGGACCAGGTCGCCGGGCGATACCTGTGGAGTTATGGGAGGTGGTGCCTTGAGCGAAATGAACGCAACTGCGAAACCAAACACTCTTCAACATGAACCCAGTTTTTAGTGGTGAAATTATGGATTTCTCACAGTCAAATCGACTCAAGAAGCTAACGCCCAGAGGCAGACACAATAACACATGCACAAAAGGGAAAAACTGATCAGGAGCCACACAAAAAAGTGAACACACAAACCTCACCGGAGTCACCCAGTTGCCGGATTCAACCTCCGAGTCACAGATTGTTACTAGGTATATTTATATATCAAAACTAAAAGAAATGGAAAAGATGTCCTTTTGCCTTCATCCGTTAAAGAAACGTTAGTTTGGTACTTCTCACATTCCCCTGGAAGGAAAACTAAAATCAATGCAGCCACATCTGAAGGTGCCCATTTGTATCGGAACATTTTTTGTTGGCAGATTTCAAAGCAAGCTGCCCCGCAGTAGGAACTGGCAGGCATGAAGGTTCTGCTCTAAACTCAGTCATACAGCTGCTCAGGTCCACCTCCTTATGTAACAACCCAATTCGCCGAATACAGGCCTTTTTTTGAAAATAAATCCAATCCGAGGTGGAAGAAGATAAATGGTAACACGCCAGCATAAACCACCCACATGGAGTCTGCAGCTGCGCCTCTCTCTCTCTCTCTCTGGATCAATAACTGGCTTTTCCACTGATTACAACAACTCCTCAACAAACCCCACCGACATACAAAGAATCTCCCTCGACTTCACGAGGTTAACATCTGTTCAAATTCTGTCAGGAGATGTCAAAGCACACAAGGCCTAATTCATTCCTCAGGTACAATACACTGCCCCTAAACCATGTTGCTTGTTTCTGTGGGGCCTGATTAAGCGTGGCACACGTTCATAAGTTCAGTTTTAGTTAAGGAAGCAAATGTATAGATATTAGCGAATCTATTTGTAACACATGGTTTCATAGAGTCGGATTTAAAAAGTGAGAGCAATGTTTAAGTCAGCCGTGATGACATTACTGAGGTAAATCTCCGCCATGGAAGGGACAACATTTGTCTGCTAGTCTGGTGTGAAAAACATGAGGCATCGTTTCAAAGTCTCAAGTGGGTTGTAGGTACAACGCCTCACATGCATAGTCCAACAAGATGGACATCATTGTGCCACCACCCCGCTTTTGTGACGGCCTAAAGAGAATCTCATTCGCAAATAGTCAATATCCACTCACCTCTGAGCACCTCGGAGTTGCAAATGATCTATTTGATTAGCATGAAGAGCAGGAAACTCCCTCCCGCAGCCTTTGTTTATCATGTATTTGTATAGAAAGTATGGCCACAGCTCACCTGTGCCATTTAACTGTAGTCTGTCCGTCTATGCCTGCCTGGGTCTACCCACCCTCTCTACGCATACACATAAACAAACATATCCTCTCTGCTTTGGCCCGACTCAACTCGGCGATGATTCATCTATACAGAAGGGCAGACTTAAGGGTTTGGAACTTAATTCCCTGTCTCCATCTAACGATTTAAAAGGTTGAACCAGCTCTACCTGCTCTCTCATTACTCTGACCGACGATCATGTCTGACACAACGTGTGGCCTCTGCCTGTCTTTATATCCCTTGTGTATAAATATGAATGACTGTACGAGTCATTTGTCGTACGACACTGTCGTCCTTAACCTCGTTTACGATAACACTCAGGGGCTCGGACTAGTGATTGTATGGGCGTTTATGCCCCTGCACAGCTTATTTGTAAGTGCATGTGCTTGAGAATTGATACGAGACTTTCTTGGGACTAACTAAGGCTGTAGAGAACGACCCCAGAATGTCACCGCGGTCCCATCCTGCCGTCCACATGCTGTTCCTCCGACACGCAGGAAGATATTTAGGATTTATCCTCCAAAAGCTTTTTTAAGGGAAATAACCATGGGAGAATGAGACCGGGGGAGGCCATGGAATGTGTAAGGAAGAAAGAGAAAGAGACCATGTAGGAAAGATAAGGACAGCGTTCTTTGATCTTATCATTAGAAACTGATAACCTGCAAAAAATAAAGCATTGCCTATTAAAATAAAGAATAACACTAATAATAACAATAGGCATGCTCTTCAGGAAAGTACATTTTGTTTGTTATCAATTGCATAATAAAGATATTTGAGGCAACTCAAGCTGTAAATCTTTTGAATTGAAATGCTCCCGAACTTTGGAAGTTTCTGTTGTTGTTTTTAAACCATTTTTTTCTGCCTTTTGCTTTGATTTTCTCTTCCCTCCAGTTTCGACAAATGCAGTCACACCATTGGTTCTTGATTAAAATAAATGCATAACAGTTCGGTGACTAGAATTTTGTGGAAGGCAAAGCATTTGAATCAATCAAGATTTTACTCCAGTTATTTGAAAAAAATTCTTTAGAAAAGAAAAAAATAGGGAAGAAATCTAATAATTTACTGAAATGGCCATGCAAAAAAAATTGAAATGATCACAATTGAAAAAAGGCTGTGACATTCAATATTCAATCTGTTTCGATGGTAATAAGCAGAAATCAAGTAATCAATGTGCTGTCATGTCACGAGTTTAAAGCACAGCAAAAAGATCAATAATACCAAGTCAATACAAAGCTGAAGCAAAGGGATTGAGCAAACGCCTCAGCCTTGAGGCCCTCGGAAAATGAATGAGACAATATTCCATCCCCCTAAACCTAAATTGAATCTAAATGAGCTTCTAACATTTTCCGTGTCTATGGGTGGAACCACTTGAGTCCTGTATCACATTACGTTTACTGGTTTCCATGGAGGACAAACAGGCACATTCAGATGTGGGGGAGGCAGACGTGAGGCACTACGAGACACTTCATCACAAAGTGAGAGCAAAAAGCCATCAACGACATCAAATGGTGTCAGTCGTACATTCACCAACGTGAGGATGGGGCGGCTTTTTCCTTCTTAGCAGCTTTGAGGTCAGCATCAATCATG